AGTGATATTATACAAAGGGAATGAAGAGCTGTGACCACTGCATAACCATCCCATTGTAAATGGTCACTAAAGGGCAGAAAACCTACAACTTGTATAACTTATTGGAGAAAGTCAGCTGAAATGGAGTTGCAAGTGTCCTTGCTCCAAATGCAAGGTAAATGATTTCCTTCTCTCTCCTTTGGTTCTGTTTTTCTCTTCATGGTTTAATCATTTTGACACCAAGCTGTACGAAAGTAATTTAAAATTAACATGTCTGACACTTGGTAGCTAGCAGAACCTGATTCTGAACCCTGCCCCCTCTCCAGGGCAGCCAAAAGTCGTCTTTGATTGGCTACTGGTCCTGCAGCAGCTGATGAAGGGCCCAGGAAAACACATCCAACAATTAATTTGCTAATTTAGTTTTCTGTTTAATTTGAAACCAGAAAATCCTCAATCACCCAGGAGCTTGGCTCTCTGTCTTGCCTTCTGAAACTTCTCTTTCAGTAGCGAGCAAAGAAACACAAAGGGAGAAGAAAGCTTACCTCCTTAGGTACATACCATACCTCCTGTGCCCTCCTGTCTTCACAATGGTTTTCTATAGGATCCCAGTTCACACCTCCTTTCACCAGGAGAATTGGGAGGAAACATTTAGGTAGGTAAAACGCTTCCTGAGTTATAGGGAATTTCCAGACCAATATGTGTTCAGAATTTAGGGTTACAGACAGACCCAGATGGGCTTCTAGCATTTGAATTAAGGATTGCTCTAAATTGTGAAGCAGCTTTCAGGTTCCCTGGGAACTTTCTGGCTGATTTCAAAAGGAAGAGGCAAATTTATATCAGAGATTGAAAAGATTTGTATTAGAGGGTTGGGTGAGATAAAAGACACATGTTTCTTCCCAGATTCCTCTGAAAGCTTGCTGTTGCTGGAAAGAATCTTAGAATTAAGAGGCAGAGGGGGAATATCTACCAGAACCCATTCCCTTTCTGTCATTCAGAGTGGATTTTGCTCAGCTGGTGTTTTAATTTTTACTACCAGTTTTTCCATGTCAGGGAAGTTAAACTCTTCTGCCTGACATCCAAGACTGTCTACAATCTGGTCTCACCTACCCATCAATCCCTATTTCTAACTCTTCATCAAAGTGCATTTCCTAATTTGGCCAGCCTCAATGTTCTGAAGACACATTGCTATGTTCCTGCCTTTGAACCTTTGTTCAATTCCCAACTGATATTTCTCCTACATGCTCCTCTCCCCTTTATTTAAATCCTATCCAAACCTCAAGGCCCACCAAGGTTTTACTTCCTCCATTCAATCTTCCTCACCACTAACTTCTCCCCTCTGTCTTCACACTGGTAATGTTTATATAAAGTACCACATGTTTGTGTAAAGTACCACATGTTGACCACTCTGATGAAACCATATTCACTTATTTCTTATCTCAGTTCTAATTTTCCAAGTAAACTGTAAAGTTCTAAAAGCCAGGGCCCATATCATATACTTCATTGGTATCCCAACATGGCCATCCATGATAATCATCAGTGCTTATTTACAAACACAAATTATCAAGTTGTACCCTCCCTGTGTTTCTGTTTTGTTAGGTCTCCAGTGAGACCCGGGAGTCTGTATGTTTTGCAAGTGCTTCAGGTATAGTCAGCCCTTGACTGTAGTTAGAGATCACTGCTCACAGCACATGACACAGTAGTCACTCAACTTGACTGTGAACATCTGGGTATCAACTATAATATATGTAGTTATTTATATCACACGGTGACCTAATTGATGGGCACTCCCACTGCCAAATGTATACCTCAGGGCACAGGTTTGGAGGCAGAGAATCTGGTTTACTTTTGCTGGCTTCAGTTTGGTATGTTTGGAATTCAAATCTCTCTACCTTATGATCTCTTTGTAATTACAATTATAGAAATTGGGCTGATTGAATAGATGGAATTGTAGCTGATTAGAAACACTCCCATCTTCATTTCCTATTCTGTTCAATCAGTTACAGTCTATAGTATTTTTCTGTGAAGTAATATTTAAGGGAAAGGGTACTTTGGTATGTGAAAAAAACTCCAGGCATAACTGCAAAATTGGTAAAATGTATCTTCCTCCTCAGTCCTCGCCCCATATATTAAATCCAACTCAAGTGTTAAATGATGAAGGATTAAGCTGTGATCCCCTCCTGGGGTACTAGTATTTCAGAGGGAATCCTCTGGAAGTAAGAGGAGGAGATTATCTTAATGATTCCTAAACTTACTTGATAGGCAAACTGCCGGAGCCCAAGATTTGGGTGAGCATTTTCTTAGAAGATGACCCCCTGGGCACCCCTTTGCTTCTTCCTGAATGCTACAATTTTCAATAAAGTAAACAGTGACCATAGAAATTTACAATTGTTGTTCCTAGAGCTGAAAACAGTTTAAATGTGGACATGTTGGTCTGCTGTGGATGGTGTTAGAAGAAGCATCTGAGTTAGAGTCCCATTACTGTTTTGTCAAAACAGCATCTTCTGGATTTTTCACATTCTTACACTATTAAATTCAAAAGAGAAAACCCTTGAAGTCTTCTATTATCCACCCAACAAATATTTATTGGGTGCCTATTATGTCCCAGGGACTGTCCTGTATTCTAGAGATACAACAATGAACAGATGAAATTCATGGAGGCTGTTGTTCAATCGCCAATTTGTGTCTTGCTCTTTGCGACTCCATGGCCTGCAGCATGCCAGGCTCCTTTGTCCTCCATTATCGCCTGGAGTTTGCTCAAATTCATGAACAGGGTTTGTGAAGGGCAACATATAAACTAAATAAATAATCATGTTATACATTAAATGATGAATGCCATGGAGAATAAAATTAGAGAATGGAAATGAGAAGTGTTGGGGGGAAATGTTAAATTTTAAACTGAATGGACAAGGAAGTTCTGAGAGGGTATCACTGGAGTAAAGACCTAAAGGAAGTGAGGAAGCAAGCCATGTAGATACCTGCAAAAAGAAAATTCCCAATAACTGGTTTAATACCTCTCAGATTATAGGCTAAGAGTTAGGTCTTGCAAATTCTAATCAAATACTAGTGTCTTTGCTAAATGCACAATAACTTCCCCCTTGAAAGTTATACAGTCCTCAACTGTAAAGTCTTCTAAGGCTTAGTTGAAGATTTTCTATTGAAAAGCAAAAAAAAAAAAAAAAAATTTCCTGAAAGCTTAACAGTACTACCATAATCACTTAAAGGCATAGAATACCATCCTAAAACCGAACAAACCAACAAATAAAGTTTCTTGTAATTTTCAGCTGAGAGATCCCATTTATATTAATTAATTACTTTAAAAAACATTATTCACATAAACAATTAGACATTGAAATTTAAATGGATTGCTTGTTTTTAAAAGATGAAAAATAGTTCCTCATTTGGTTCTCAGAACAAATTGTGATATGTGCAAAACTGGCATTATGTTCAGTACACACATGAGGATGCTAAGGTCCAGAGAAATTAGATGCCTTGTCATAGGTCCCACAGTTAATAAATGGTTGAGCCAGTGTTAAAACTCAGGTCTTTTGACTCTAAATTCCATGTTTCTTCCCTCTATCATAGCTGCCATTTCAGTTCCCAAATTAGGAAAACAGCTACAGCATAGTACTTACTTACAGAATTCGAGCAACCTCTAGATGCCCTGTGAAACCACATCTGTCATATAAAAAAGAGAAATAACAACAGTATATTGGAAAAGCCAGTTGTGAAGTTAAACTTAAAACCCAAAGGACAGACAGCTGGCACCAGTTCCTGAGGCCTAAGTCTTAGCGGCTGGAAGTCTAAATCACAGCAGAAACATTATACCTTTCTACATTGGGCTCTGGTACAAGGAATGCTTTCCACCTAGGGCAGAGTGGATGCTAGAAGCAGCACAATGTTCCATTAAGTACTAAAATTTATCAATACCCAGTTCAGGCAAAAAGAGGTAGATAAAGAAGTGGTTATATTACTGGAATTTGGTTCTTTCCCCTTATTTCCAAAACCACCCAATCAGGGCTCTTGTCACTTATTTCTCACATTTCTGTAAAAGTCTACTGTCAGTTTCTCCCCTTTCCCTGACCTTTTCCCCGAACTTTTACTTCCAAAATTTTACTCTTTTGCATAAAAAACTTTAGTGACTCCAAAATACAGTTCATTAAGAAAATAAGATTCAGTTTAGCATTCAGGATATTACTTATAACACAACTTACTAAAATTGACACAAGATGAAGTAGAAAATGCGAATTGTCCTATATCTCTTAAAGAAATCAAATTTATTAATAAATATCTTTCTTAAAGAAAGCTCTAGACCCGGATGGTTTCACTGGAAAATTCTATCAAACATTTAAGGAAGAAGTAAGATCAATCTTACACAAATTCTTTTAGAAAATAGATGAGGGAATATTTTCAGCTCATTCAACCTTAGATAGTCAATCTGATCTTTGACATTCTTGCCCTAATTACCAAAATCTAGAGACAGAAACTCTGCATGTTTCCTAATTTTCTTCCAAACAGCATGCTACATGCTCTTGCTGATGCTTCCCCTTCCTTGAAATTCCTTCCTTGGAATTCCCTCCCCACTCTCTTTGCCTATTCAAGTACTTTGGATAGATAGAAGTGAGGATTCTGAGATGATCTGAAACTTAGGTCCATTCTTTTTCTTTTTCCTTTTTTTTTTAGGCCTATTCTTTTGTCACTTGCCTCTAAAGACAAGTATAACCTTGAGAAGTGAGCACAGAAAAAAAAAAGAATCAGTGTTAGTACTATACATAAATGTTAAGCCCAGTGTAGAATACACAAAAGAAAAGTCAAGGGCTTTCTTTCTTTTTTCTCTTTGTTTTGTTTTCAAGGGCTTTTCTGATTCAACGAAGTAAAGTGTTCCCACTCACCAGTGAAATGCAATAGAGAACTATGCAAAAGGCAGAAAAAATGAGACTTTTTATTTTTTAAAGAACAGCAACAGAATACCAGTGAGAATCTTCTGTCACTCAGCTTTCCAGCGAACATTTATTGAGAGCCTACTATGAGCCAAGATTATGCCAGGAATTGTGTATATACTTGGTGGTCCCTTCTTTCATGGAACAGTCTAGAAGAAGAGACAGACAATAATTAGGTGATGAGAATTATAAATTGTGATTAACTTTTCTGAATGTAAAGGACAACCCTCCTTTTTGGGGGGGACCCTCACCAAGTGGGGATCTTAGTTTCCCAACTAGGGATTGAACCAGGGCCCCAGCAGTGAAAGCACTGAGTCCTAAATCACTGGACCATCAAGGAATTCCCAGAAGAAACATGGAAAGCAAGAATAATGGTGGGAAATTTTTTGAAGTTGATGGTCAGGAAACGTCTCTCTGAGGAAGGAAAGTTTCTTGGAGGATGAGAAGGCACCAGCCTCTTGGATGAGGACCATTGCAGGCAGAGAGAAGAGTGTGTGATAATTCTGAAACTAGAAAATTGTCAAGTTTTCTTAGCAGCTGAACAGAAGGTCGATGTGGCCAGTGGGTTGGACAGGTAGTTGAAGCCAGATCATGATGGATCTTCCTGGTTCTGGAAAGATTTTTTTTTATTCTAAATATAGTGGAGCCCATGGAGGATGATAAGTTAATGAAGAGAGAATTGAGAAGGCCCCAGATTGATAATATTTCAAAAGACATTATTTGCTCCCACATTCAAATGGCATTTATGGACTATCTCTGTACCAGGTACTCTTCTCAGCATTTTAACATCCCATTCAGTTCTCACCATAGACTTGTCCGTGTGTGTGTGTGTGTGTGTGTGCGCGCGCGCGTGCATGCAGACGCTGAGTTGCTTCAGTTGTATCCAACTCTTTGTGAACCTTGGGCTGTAGCCTGCCAGGCTCCTCTGACCATGGGATTTTCCAGGCAAAAATACTGGAGTGTGTTGCCATTTCCTTCTTCAAGGGATCTTCCTGACCCAGGGATCGAACTGGTATCTCCTGCGTCTCCTGCATTGCATGTGGATTCTTTACCACCGAGCCACTGGGGAAGCCGTAATAGACCTGTGAGTGAGGTTTAGGTCATTATCACTTTCCCACTGATTAAGAAACTGATGCTCAGAGAGATTCAGTGACTTGCCCAAGATTTTATCGATATTAGCCCAAAGCTGTGATTTGAAATTTAGTCTCACCTATGATTCAAGGTCTCTCTGTTCATCCCACCAGATTATCTAACAGTTACTCAGGCCAAATATCCACAGTATCTTTGACTCCTCTCTATTTCTCATATACCCATCCCCTCTTATTAGTTCAGTTCAGTTCAATTCAGTCACTCAGTCTTGTCCGAATCTTTGCGACCCCATGAATCGCAGCACGCCAGGCCTCCCTGTCCATCACCAACTCCTGGAGTTTACTCAAACTCGTGCCCATCGAGTCAGTGATGCCATCCAGCCATCTCATCCTCTGTCGTCCCCTTCTCCTCCTGCCCCCCATCCCTGCCAGCATCAGGGTCTTTTCCAATGAGTCAACTCTTCGCATAAGGTGGCCAAAGTACTGGAGTTTTACCTTCAACATCAGTCCTTCCAATGAACACCAGGACTGCAAATCCTGGTACGTTTACCTCTAAAATCTAACAACTTGTCAGCATCTCTGCTGCTGCTGTCCTGATCTGAGACACCATTGTTTTTTGCCTAGATTCCTGCAATTGCCTCCGAACTGTTCTCCCTGCTTCTGCCCTTGCTATCCTATCTTCTTTTTTTTCTGCAAAGCAGCCAGAATAAACCTTCTAAATCATAAGTCCTATCATAAAACATAAATCATTCCTCCAGTGACTTCCCATGTCACTCAAATAAAAGTCTTTAATGACTTCCAAGGCCCTACAATTCTGCCCCCTACACTCCTGCTTCCCTGGCCTAGCTCCTAAATCTCTCCCTAGCTCACTATTCAGCTACACTAGTCTTCAACAAGGGAATCTCTTGTCTGAAGACCTTTACATTTGCTATTCTTTCTGCCAGGAGTTCTCTCTCTAATGTTTGTAAAGTGTCCTCCATTTTTTTAATGTCTTAGCTCAGGGGGCCCTTTCTGATCACCCTTTGTAAAATGGATAACTCTACCCGAACAATAAGCCTCATCTCCCTTCACCCTACTGTCTGATTCTCCACAGCCCTGAGCACCATGAGGTAGACTGTAGGTTTACTTATTTCTTGTTTGCTTCCCCCCCTGCCCTTCAAAATATAAGTTCCTAAGGACAGGGATTTTATTCTCTGTTCTTAGAACACAGATTCCAGCTCCTAGAACACTGCCTGGCTCAATGAATAGAGGCAGGTGACTAAAGAACAGAGCCTATTTGATCAATGACTGAATGAACAGAAAGACAAAATTGCTCACTTTTTAAACTAGGAAGTCATGGCAGAGGTTTATTTCTTCCAGTTGATTCTTTGGTTTTGAAGCCTTAAGAACAGCTTCTGGACTTCCCTGGTGGCTCTGTGGTAAAGAGTCCACCTGCCAATGCAGGAGACACAGATTCGATCCCCGGTCCAGGAAGATTCCTCATTCCTCTAGGCAATTAAGCCCGTGCACCACAACTACCAAGCCAGCCTAGAGTCAAGGCTTTGCAACAAGAGGAGCCACAGGAGTGAGAAAGCTGGCCCTGCAACAAAGAGGAGCCCCTGCTCACCTCAACTAGAGAAAGCTCGAGCGCAGCAACGAAGACCCAGCACAACTTAAAAAAAAACTCAACAACTTCTGAAAGCTTTAACTAAACTGAGTGGATCAAATGATCTTGGTTTATGCAGTGCTGACTACCAGTTGGCAGGCTACCAGTCATATAACTGGGTATGTCCAGGAGCCCAGTCTTGCCCCTATCACCTTCTCTGGTTCACTACAAAGCTTACTGAATACCTTTCTCTTTTCTTTGTTTCTTCTTAAAAATATTATGTGACATATTTATTTAACATGTATATTACACATATGTTACTCTTTTCTAAGACACACTTACATGCCTTTGGCTTTTTTGAGTTTTTTATTCTGGGCAATGGGAGTGATAGTTGGTCCCTGTCTGTGGTTGGGATTCTATACAGGGAAAGTCATTCAATTAAATCAAGCAGTATTGAATCCTTAATTGACACAAATGAGACAGACAGACAGCTGGAGGAGTGGGGGAGGGACAAGGAGCAGGTGCTCTGCATAATGGAGAAAGAAGAGGGGCAGAATATAAATTCAGCTCACTTGTGAGTCTAGGTTTTGTACCACAAGATAGGTAAGTTTTGCCACAGCTTACTTTACATATAGCAGAAAGGATCTGGTGGTATCTTTGCCAAGGATAAGGCAACAGATTCCAAATGCTTGTGCCATTTTGGCTGCCCTGATGGCCAAGTCGGCCTCTTTTCAGGTACAGTCATTTATGAAAATCACTCTTGGTGGAGCCCGGGGTTTGTCCCCCCCCCGCCCCAGATAACTTTATCACATAATGTTTGAATGAAAGAAACCACTTTTTAAATTCCTTTCTCAAACAAAGGGATTCTTAACACATGAGTTAGGAAAGTGAGGGAAAGGATGTTTCTAAATCATCAAATGCCAGATATAGGGGCATTCCTGCTGAGGAGGCATGTCCCTTGACAGCTCTGGAATTTCCCTGAGAATGTTGGGGGTATTTTTTCCTCTTAGCCCCATCTTGATCTGAGCTTTGACTCCTCAGCTCAGACAATTCTTCTCTGTATCCATGGGAATTGCTCCCATAATTAGCAGTGTCTCCTGCCTGGAACACAGACAAGTAAATGTTCAAACCTGGCAGCTGATCCTGGGAAGGAGAGCTGATTAAATCTTTCCTGTTGAGAGGCACCTCTCTGATTTGAATGTGACACCTACATCCTCCACCTCAGGTTTGTCTGAGAGAAGCAATTTCACCCATGCCTTCATAACCGGAGATCCTGATATTTAAAGATATTTAATCTTAAAAAGAGCCCACTAGTTTCCCACTGATTTAGTAAAAAGCATGGGCTTCTCCCCCACCCCTTTCCTGGCCCCTTCTCCACTAAACACCACCCTGGATTTGGTATGATGAAAGCTCCTGCTTCACAGGTCTCATCAAATGCCAAGAGCCTTGAGGAGTAAAAGGAGTTCAGAACACTACTAAGTACATGTAAGTATTAACTGCAGTGGAAGAGTGAAAGAGCGGGCAAACTCTTTAAAAGTTTTGGTAAGACAGGCTGGAACCATGAAGCCCCAAAGTGAACATTCTTGGTGATATTCTGTTCCAGAAAAGCTTTCTATGGGAGGAGGTGTATTCTTATCTGGATGTATCTAGTGTTATGTATGACGATTCAAATGTGTGCAGGAGAGACAATATCCGTTTTCTTCTGACATCAAGGCAACCCCTTAAGTTTATCCAAATTTATTTCGGTTAGTGCAATAAAAAAGCCAGGTTGGAGAATTATGTCTAAAACAAAAACAAAAGCCATTGTATGCTTGAAGTTTCCCACTGAAAGCCTGCTTTTAGAGCAGTTTGCTTCTCCACAGTTCCAGTCACCTCACAGTATTTGCATTCAGGCAGGTTGGCTGTGAACAAAGCAAGTTTGCTTCACAGGCAATAGCCCTAAACGTACTCTCTCAAGACAAAAGTTTTTCTTCGCAGTGTTTTCTACACGGCTCTGGTGAAGGGCCATTCACTTACCTCCAACCTCTTTCTCCTGGGAGACAAAGGCACCTTTGGGCAGCAGTGACATGGGAGAGTTAGAATCAGATTTGTTATCGCCATTGCAGCCTTCAATTTCAGTAAGAGGCTAAATCTGTCTATTCCAACTACAGGAAGGCAGTCTTTATAACCCCTGGAGCACTTGGCCAATTATGCACCTGCAAATATACCATACAGGACATTTCAGGTTCCTAAGCACTTTGAAAACCGATACTTAAACAGTCTCAAGGGATCCTATCACCCACCTCGAATAATAGCTGCTTTGGAATCTGTTGTTGGCACCAGAAAAAGAGAGTCCTCTGAAGTCATTCTAAAGCCATTTTTATTGTGCATTTTCAAACAAAGAACCTCACCAAAAGAACTTCTGTTACAAAATCAGGGTAGAAAGTCAAACTCATCTCATCTAAGAGTCAATTACCCTGGCAATTTTGTGAAGGGATGGGAAATGAGTGCTAGGGGAAAGGGTTGTGGGGAGGGGGTGGGATTGGCTTTTAAAATCCCCTGGGTGAGAAGGGTGTTCCCACTGACTCTAAGCTCTAACAATTACAACAGAAGGGCCTCTGTGACTTTCTGGCTGTAAACTTTTTATGATTATTAACTGGGGAAATCTAGAATATGTGGAATTTTAACAATCGGCTTTCAACCTCCATTTGCTTCTTTCTGAGAAATTTGTTTTTGCACAGTGTAATAACCTAAGGCTCAGAATTTACGCTGACTACCTTATATTCCTTGCTGAAACCCACCTTCTTACATATCTTACTTCCAATAAAGAGGCAGATGCCCTACATGCTGTTTATCTCGGGAAAGAAATACATGTGGGAAAAGAAGCAATTTTCTTCTTGCAATTAAATTGTCATGACCACCTGTTGTGGGATTATCCTGCCATCTGCTGTTCAAAAGAAAAACAACAGCAGAGAAACAGGTTGGATGAGCTAAAATGTTCCTCAGTTGATTAAGGGTTTCAGTACAGTTTAAAATCTTCCTTTTTTTTTTTTTTTTTAAGAGTATCGCTTTCAATTACTATTGTGAAGTAGAGCTAATGGCTGATGGAATATCCCAAAAATGGGAGGACAAATGACACTATTGTTTCTAGTCGTAGAACCTTCTTTCCCTTGACCTAATCATTTCACTCTAGAAACGTCTTCTAAAGGATGAATCTGAAATTCAGAAAAGGCCATGTGTGCAAAGATGTTTATCATAATGATCATTTTATTTTGAAAAAAATTACAGAAGCAACTCAAAAGCCCACCAACTAGCAAATGTTTAGGATCATCTACTTGGTGGAATATTCTGAAGCTACTGTAATTATTTACATGAAAAATTTGACATGATGGTGTGCTTAAAATGCAACATAAAAATAAAACAGATTAAAAGAGCAGATTAAGGACTTCCCTGTTGTTCTAGTGGTTAAGAATACGCCTGCCCATGCAGGGGACCCGGGTTTGATCCCCAGTCCTAGAAGATCCCACATGCCGTGCAGCAGCTAAGTCCCTGCACCACAACCAGTGAACCCTCGTTCTAGAGCCCAGACAATGTAACAGTTGTGGCAGTCCGAGGGCAGCTAGGAGAAGTATTTCCAGACACAGTATTTCAGACAGGAGTGAGTTTATTAAGAACAAAGAGCAGAGATAATGAGAGTCCTGCAAGCTCAGCGGGCTGACCTCCTGACAGACCAGGAGAGTCCACGGGACGCTGTTAGAACAGTGGGCGGGCTCAAGGGAGAGCCAACGCTTTCGTGGACTAGGAGCCAATTTTTAGAGCCTCAAAACAAGGAAAACTCCTGCTGGAAGGGTGGCACTAGGTGATTGGTTAGGACACTACAGGGTGAGTACACCCAGGGTGGGCGTTTTTGCCTAATATGGGGTCAGAGTACTCTGGTGGCTCAGATGGAAAGAATCTGCCTGTCATGCAGGAGACCTGGGCTCAATCCCTGGGTCGGGAAGGTTCCCTGGAGGAGGGCATGGCAACCCACTCCGGCATTCTTGCCTGGAGAATCCCATGGACAGAGGAGCCTGGTGGGCTACAGTCTGTGGGGTCGCAGAGTCAGGCACGACTGAGCGACTAACACTTTCACTATTCGTGGGGTCAGGAAGCTGGCTGGGAAAGATCAGGGGGCTTTTGGCAACGGTTACAATGGGGCCCAGTCAGTTCCAGAGGTGACCTTGGTTCTGAGCTCCACTTCCGTGGCCTTGGTGCAAGGCCTCGCACCTGTGACCTTGGTATGGAATTACTGAAGCCCAAGGCCCAGAGTTTGTGCTCTACAACAGGAGAAGCCACCGCAACGAGAAGCCCACACAAGTAGAGAGCAGCCCTTGCTCGCTGAAGCTAGAGAAAGCCCACATGCAGCAACAAAGACCCAGAGGAGCCAAAAATAGATAAATAAATGGCAATGTTCCTTAAGCTCTTTGGCTGCTCTAATTGTTTCCCATCTGACCATCTTGTGTAGTCTCTCTTCCCTTGTGGTGCCAGCCAGAGTGATCATTCTAAAATGCAAGGTTGGGATTTCCCTGGCAATCCAGTGGTTAAGACTCTGTGCTTCCATTATAGGGGGCATGGGTTAGATCCCTGGTTGGGGAACTAAGATTCCGCATGCTGCATGGCATGGTCAAAAGAAAAGAAAAGAAAAAAAAAAAAAAAAAGGAAGGTTGATGAAGCCATTCCCCAGATCAGAATCTTTCAAAGGCTCCCACTGCCTTATGGAATTAAGTTCAAACTCCATGCTATTTCACCCCTTTGTGATTTTGCTCATGCTGTTCCCACTGCCAGAGATGCCTCTTCTCACTATCTGCCTGACAACTCCTCCCCATCTTTTGGGACTCGGTTCAGGCATCAGCTCCTCTTGACACCTTTCCTGACACCTGGCCCTTCGACAGAACTGACCACAGCCTTCTTTGTACCAGTGGCTCCCCTCCCCACCATACTATAATAACATCACTTATCACATAGGTAATTTTCTCTTTCCTTATCTGACTCCTTCCCTGGATGTAAAGCTCCTTGTTTATGAATCTTGCATCAAGGGGTAGATCCCGGACTTCCCTGGTGGTCCAGTGTTTGAGAGTCTGCCTGCCAATGCAGAGGATGCAGTTTTGATCCCTGGTCTGGGAGAATTCTACATGCTGCTTGGCAACTAAGGCCATGGGCCACCACTACTGAAGCCTGCGCCCCAGAGCTTGTATTCCACAAGAGAAGCCGCTACAGTGAGAAGCCCACGCACTGCAACTAGAGTAGCGCCCGCTCACTGCATCAGAAAAAGCCCTCAAGCAGCAACAAAGACCCAGTGCCGCCAAAATAAATAAATAAAATGAAAAAATTTTAAAGGTGTATATCCCAGCACCTAGTACTGTGTCTTGTTTATACTAGAAGTTCTATAAATGCTTGCTCAATAAGGAATTCATCAAAGCATTTTGTTTGTTTATTTATTTTGGCTGTACCACGTGGCTTGCGGGATCTTGGTTCCCCAACCAGGGATTGTACCTGTGCCATGGCAGTGAAAGCTCGGAATACTAACCACTCAGTCACCAGGGAATTCCCACATCTAACATTTTAATTTCCAGAAGGCTTTCATTATAATGTGGCATTTGATTCTGGTAAGTGGCAAAGCAAGGACTTGAACCCAGGTTTTCTAAAAGGAAGGAAAAAACTCAAACCCTGTAACAGATACTATTTTTGCTCACCCCAAATTCTCTCAGATCTTTTACCAGTTCCTCCCCACCTCTTTTAGGTGCTGTTTGCTTTTGTTTCCAATAACCAGTACCTGCGGCTCTTCCCAGGAGGACGGTCCTCAGGCTACTAGAATGGCTTTGATTCTTTCCTCCTCCCTTTGCGTGCAGTGGTGTTAAGTCACCTCAGTTGAGTCAGACTCTGCAGCCCTATTGACTGTAGCCCACCAGGCTCCTCTGTCCATGGGATTCTCCAGGAGAGAATACTAGAGAGGGTTGCCATTTCCTACTTCAGAGGCTCTTCCTGACCCAGGGCTGGAACACTAGTCTCTTGTTTCCTGAATTGGCAGGCGGGTTCTTTACCACTAGTGGCACCTAGGAAGTCCTCTCTCTTCCCTACTGCTGCTGCTGCTGCTGCTAAGTCGCTTCAGTCGTGGCCGACTCTGTGCGACCCCACAGACGGCAGCCCACCAGGCTCCCCTGTCCCTGGGATTCTCCAGGCAAGAACACTGGATTGGGTTGCCATTTCCTTCTCCAATCTCTCTTCCCTAGCCTCTAGCAAATGACTAACTGGAGGTGGGAATTTGCAAACTCAGTTGACTGTCTCCAGTAGAATTTATACTCCTGAGCTCCCTAAGGGATTAAGCTGCACTTTCTGGGACTACCTGAAACCTCATTTTTGCTTGGCTTCTTTCTCTTTTTGCCTTGCTTCTCCTTGGCCGTCTCTGGCTTCTTGGAGGATTTCCTTAAATAATTGCCTATCGAGGATCGTTGTCTCCAATTCTGCTTCTAAGGTTTCCAAAGCATCCACCTAAGCATTTCCTTAGTTCCTACTTTACGTCGGAACCTGTTAAGTGCTCTTACAAAAGCTAGTTTATTTATACCTCACCAACTCTCTGTGAATGACGTATATAAATTTTTTTTAACACCTGAATAAACGGGCTTAGAGAGCCAAGGTAATTTATCCAAGGTCACAGCCATCGGAAAAGTCAGAAGTTGAACCTAGTTATTTTTACCCCAAAGATGTGTCCTTTTCACTAAGTCTTGATGCCTCTTGTGACTCTAAATTCAATGTTTTTCTCTTTGTGAGGATGGCATCATCGGCTGACTGAGTTTAGTGGGAACTCTTATTTTGGACATTTATCTGCACATCTGGTGGATTCATTTGCCAGTTTGTATAAATTTTAGTAATGTCAGATAAATAGTAAGAGCAGGTAAAAGACAAAAAGCGCTTCATCAAAATAGGCTTGCTCTTTTCTCTACTACAGGATGTTCCTAGAATAACTATATATCATTCTCATAACTTGGGATCTTTTGCCAGTTTCCTAACTCTCTGGGCCTCAATTTTATCATCTTTAAAATGGGGAAATAAGATAATAAGAATACCCACTTAACTTGATAGGT